TGAACCTTTCCGATGGGCCGGCTCCTTCTTCGCCGGAGCCTGCCTCCTCCCCCAGATCAGTCAATTCTAATGACTGGGGGGGGCTAGACCCTTACGAATTCTGCCGCCGATTGCCTCGCCGGCAGTGGCCATCGGTGAAACCGCCGCCACTACCACCAAACCCCTATGATGACTTCAGTGAAGCATACAAGGCCCTCTCCGCCAACCGCCTGCCTGACGGAAGGATTGACTGGGACGCTCCATGCCCCCTCCATTCCCTGCAATGCATGGCCTGGGAGAGCTTTCAGGATGAGCACTTACCCCTCCTGGAGCATGAGTGCGCATACCACGCCAGTCTTGAGCGATGGACTGGCGAAAGTCGCACCAGTTCGCCGGTGAGGCCTAAGGAGGAGGTTGTGTTGGGGGAAGAACTGGGTTCCAGTCCACCTCGCCCCTCCGACCGTGCAACTTCCCAGAGAACCCGTAGGCGACCTGGAGTAGCTCGATCGGCTTCAGGATCTCCATCCTCATCTAGGTGATGCCGGTTGGGGTTCTGGAAGAAGCGAGCCGCCCTCCGTCCTTCCCTGATATTTGAAGGACGGTGGGGTTTTGCCGAGGCTGGGGGCGACCGACCCTGTTCCGCGTCGGGGAAGAAAGGTGGTCGTCCCGGACGGCCGGTGATCGGAGTTCCGCCGGCCCATGGAGCTGCAGAACTACCCTTCAAACCTGCCTGTCCCCCCTAGGCCTTTTGCTCGCAAAACTTTAGATTGTCCCTTTTGTTGTAGGAAAAGTATGGAAAAGTATCCCTCCCTTATGTAGAGATTGTTCTCAAACGTATTGTAGCAGATGCAAAAGACTATCCTTCGAATGTAACAAACACTTTTGCGAATGTATTCTGATGTTACCTGTTTACTTACAAGTTCCATCTTCTTCTCTTTCGTATCCCACTTTAGACATTCAGGTTTCCTCTGACTTAAGTCAGAGAACACCTCGCCCCCCTTTTTTTTTGACTTAGCCATTTCCGGGTTATTTTACCCTTCTTCAGCATCGTCATATCTCCCAGACCCCCTGGTCGCTCATGCGATCAACGGGCCTTTACGTTCCAGACTTAGCCGCTTTCCTGGGCTCTCATGCCTCGGCGTCGTCTTCAACCTCGGTCGCTTGTCAGGGTTCGACGCTTCCCCCACTACTGGGTATCTTAACACGAATCACCATACAGTTTGGGCTTAACGATCTCTTTTGGTCGCTCCTTTTTTTTTCGAGAATTGAAGGCAAGATATGCCAAAATGCTGGTTTTATTAAATTTCAAGATAGAAGCATCGCTGGGATACAATCTACTGATAGAATTTAACAAGGTTGGCGGCATTCTACACTCGAGGAACGTCGCCGCCGGCTGGAGTTTGCAATCTAAACGTCCCATCAGCCAACACCTCCTTTATGATGTATGGTCCCTCGAAGCTTTTAGCAAACTTCCCTCCATCGGTCGGTCGGCTGACTTCCCTTTTCCGAAGAACCCAGTCGCCCACCTAGAACTTCCTTGGTCGTACCCGCTGGTCGTGATATGACTTGACCTGTCGGCGGTAATTTTCTGCTCGCATGTATGCCCTTTCCCTTCGCTCATCAACGAGGTGCAGTTCTACCCTCAAGTTCTCCTCATTCTCTTGTGCATCAAACGTCTCCACTCTATAGCTCAACAATGAGGTCTCTGCTGGAGCCCTTGCTTCAAATCCATATGTGAGCGAGAAAGGAGTTTCACCTGTGGCCTTCCTTGGGGTAGTCCTGTAGGTCCACAAGATGTAGGGCAATTCCTCCACCCAGGCACTTTTGCATTCCATTAT